TGGGGCTGAGAGAGTGTGCATGCATATTTTTTTTAAAAATTTTAAAAATATTTTTATTGATTTATTTATTGATTTATTGATTGATTTATTTTTGGTGCTTCGGCCCCCCAATTGTCTGAGAGACAGCAACCCGGCCCCCGGCTCAAAAAGGTTGCCTACCCCTGCTATAGAGTCTTGGCTCTAAGGAAGACTCAGAACCAAACATTTGAGAATTAATTTGTTTCAGAGCCGTCCATGTGAGTCTCCTGTCCCTCTGCTGTGTGCAAGGGTTGCATCCTTATCATCATTGCTACCACCTTCTTCTCGACCTTATCCCCCTCTTTTTTTTAATCTGGAAGCAAGCGGAGGTGCTACCACCACCACTGTCATCTTTTCTTCTTCCTCCTTCTCCCATCTTCATCCAGAGTTGGGAGTGGGTGTCACTGTCAGTTCGTCCTATGGCAACTGTGGGTTGTATGCATACTGCTCTGCATGTGTAAATGAAGTGTGGAGTGGCATAAGTTCCCATAAAATGTCTGGGGACAGTATTTGTCTTCTTGCCTCAGGCAGCAGGATACCTTTCTGCGCCCCAAGTGAAGTATGTAGAAGTACACTAGCTTAGCAAATCTGAAACATCAGCACAGGGCCATAGTACGTGTTGCCATACTGAGACTAGAAGCTTGGCAGGGAGATGAGAGTTGCTACACAAATGCAAGCACTCCATAAAATCTGTACATTTGATGTTCTGTAACATATCAGAAGGAGTACAAGAAGAAACTGACAGCACACCAACTCAAGATGTCAAGCTGATCACTGGAGACTAGAACGCAAAAGTCTGAAGAGAAGAAGAATAAAAAACAGTAAGCAGATTTGGATTAGGCAAAAGAAATGAAGCAGGTGAGCGTCTGATAGATTTTTGTGAAGCCAACAACCTATTCATTGCAAACACATTTTTCATACAACCAGAAAGAAGACTACACACATGGACATCACCAGATGGTCAACACAAAAATCAAACAGATTATATAATAGGTAGCAAAAGATGGCAGAACTCTATACTGGTGGCCAAGACTAGACCAGGCACTGACTGTGGCACAGATCATGAATTACTCATAACAAAAATAAGAGTAAGGCTCAAAAAGAAAAGAAAACCAGTGATTATACCAAAATATGATCTAAATACTATCTCAACAGAATTTACTAATAACATAAGAAACAAATTCACACTACTAAGCATAATAGACCGGCAACCAGAGGAACTATGGTCTGAAGCCAGGGACATAATAAAAGAAGAA